CTGAGAGACAATTCTGGAATATAGCTGCCAGCTTGTGCAGATCTTTCAGTATTGGAGTAATACAGTCTTTAGATCATGGGTCCTCAAACTAGGGGCCGGGGGCCGGATCCGTTTATCCAGCCCACCACACGCGTGCGACTGCACCCACGCTGCCGCCCACCTCGCCCCGCACATGGGGAGGCAGCGGTTTGCTCACTCAGAGAAAATGATCTCCAAGAGAGCAAGCCGCTGCCTCATGTACCCGCCTCGTGGCACGTGTCTGCCTCCGCCTTGCCTGACTGTGCCTCGCCTCCCCTCCCCTCACCACATGCACCCACACACACTGCCTCTGCCCCTGCACCGGGCTGCGCACACCGCCGGCACCACCTTCCAGCCCGCACCCAGCACTGGCACCTTTCAAGTGGCCTCCTGGTTAAAAAGTTTGAAGACCCCTGGTTTAGATTGTATACTGTCTCACAACTTAGTCACAACATTTTGTACCAGAGGCAACTTCTGGGCATTCCTCCATGGCAGCCCAACATAAAGCAATAGAAATAGTTTGAATTAAGAACAGGTGCAATTCAGTTTCTTTTAGAGTGAATCAATGAACTTGGTCCTGAAGATAGCCAAAGCATGACATATTTTTCGTTGCAAAACTTGCAGATCCATAAAACAGGACAACTTTATAAAGACAGTTTATAGTAACTCTAATTAGAATTAAAAAGTTAGCTAAACAATACTTTATAGAAGGATGCTTCGTATCCATTAAAGTGAATGAAAAATACTCTGTTAAAGTAATGAGATACCATTTTTGTGGTTACAGCCCTATGATCTGCATGATTCAGTACACTAACTGAGGTGAACCCTATATGAGAAGAGAAATAGGGCAGCTATGAAGGAAAAGAATGGATTTCTAGAAACTATTAAGACAAATTAGTAAGAAAATGAGTAATTAGTTTACATTACCAGGGAGAAAAAAAATCTTTATTATCAAAAGCAGAGTACTTGGTGTTTAAATCCTAGACAGGTTGTTGGTTAGATATAATCTATTTTAGCCATAAAACTCATTATATCTAGTACAAGTAAACATAGTGGTTGATGAAGGGAAAAAAGCTGAATTTTTCTTCATGCTGCTCCTCCTCTTCCTCTTCCCCCACATTTGCCAGGTCCTTTCAGGTCCATCCTCCCACATCGCTACATCTGGATAACAAGTTTTGAATATAGTTCTTACGAGCTGTGGTGGTGACAGTAGTAGCTCCCATGGTCAGCTTGGGCTTCTAATGGCTATAGAAGCTGCCTTACTCTCTCTGGTCAAATTGGGTATGGCACACTATTTTTGGCAGAAACAAAGGCGACTGTATTTTTTCAAGTCACTACACGGGTTTGTGGGATGCAACCTGGTCATATTGTGCGTGCAGTGCAATCCCAAAAGAAGCAGATAGCAACTCTGGAAGTTAGACCTTTCCCTTGAGAGCAGCACTTTTTGCCATAGAAATAGTGCAGAATGGAGGTAAGAACAGAGCAGAGAGAGAAAACTTACTGTTGAGGAACCAGCTATGCAGCACAATCAGTCCACAGTTGTGTTAGGAGTAATCAAGCCTAGCAAGGATGTTTCAGGCCAGTCTAGCTGATTTGCCTTAGCTTACCTATCTGGTTATCACCTAAAGCGGATACCATGGGTTCAGTTCCAGGACCTGGAATTACATGGTCTTGCACAAGTGAGTTAGGTACTGAACCATCTTCCAAGAAGGCACTCCCATCTCTCCAAGTGTTGGCATCAGCTTAATTAACCTGAACGTGCTTATACAATTATGCATTGATATGAGAAAAACCGCAGAATAATGAATTATAAAAATCACAAAAACAAAAACAGTGACTTTTTGTTGTTGAGTCCTGCATTCAAGATAGATAGATCTAAGATAGATAGATAGATCTATAGGTAGATCTCTATTCATTCTGCATTCAAGATGAATCCTTGCATTCAAGAGATCTTTCTATCTATCTAGCTATCTAGCTATGTATCTATCTATTTTTGGTAAGGTCAAACATGTATCATATGGATAGAACTTCATTCCTTGATTTAATAATTTAATAATTTATAGTCAAGCCTTAAAGTGCAGACCAAATGTCAAATTCCTCTATCTATATATTCTTTCTGTTGCCCTTTATTTAGCCTATATGCTTCATGTTGTTAGTCTTTATTCAGTGTTACTGCTCCCACCCCACCTTTCAGACTTGTCTAGTACAAGAATGTGCTGCCTTGATTAACTGGATTTCTTACTAAACTGATGGCTTCAGCCTTAGCTGTATTTGTTAACTTTTACATGCGCAACCTTTTCTTCATTAACTATCCCACCCTACCACAACAGCCACAGTGCCCTGTTTATTTTATTTTATTTTATTATTTTTCCTTATCTACCTCTGGCTGTTTCCTGTTATTGCAGCAGCATAGCACGGGCGTGATTGCATTTCCACAGCAATGTAGGTAGGAAAGTTCCAAGTAGATTTTTTTCCACGTTGGGGGCATATAACATAACAGGGCTCAAAGCTTTCCAGTGCATGTCCCATGGAACAAAATGGGGGTTACAAAAGAACATGCTAATACCCATGGAGAACAGGCAGGAGATGTTTCCTGACAGACAGATGGCCACGGAGTTTGCCTGTGGTAAATCCATACTAATTCCAGTGAGCTTTTTATAGTGATTGTCTCTCTGTTCATTTCTCTGATGCAGGTGAATAAGTCTATTGCATTACAATCAGGATATCTTTAAAGACTGCTTAAGTTATTAGCGCAACCCCCTTTCCCATTTTTGCCCCTTTTATACTAGATTTAAAAATAAAATAAAATCAGCATGGTGTCCATACATAAGACACCAACAACAAGAATACAGCAAGAATCTGCAAGCAGTCAAAATAAACTATGCCAAAAATAATCACACAAGAATCAGTGTTGTGCTGGACCCATGTCCATGTTTTCATCAGAACAAAAGTGCTGGTGACAGTATATTTGTTCATACGTTGCCAGAGTCATGAGACTTTCCATGGATGGGGTGGATTTTTCTTTTCATCCTTGAAGGATCATCCTCAGCTATTGTAAAGGGCTGTGAGGACCACTTCGTTTTACCTTCAGAGAGTTTCTACATTACTGGAAGGAGATGAAGGAGTGCAAGAACATCCTTGGTTTCTAATGTTGTTAGATGCATTGAGACAGACAGAGGAAAGTGGCCATTTTGAAAGAGCCCCTTGAGGACATGGGACCACGCATCTTAATCTGTGATGAGACCCAATATGGATTCCATGCAAAGTATACAGGAAGCGGGGGAAAGATCTTCAGGCTGAACCATATTTCCTTATTTTAAAAAGAATACAGCCATTTTTCCTCTACAGCCACAAGCTAAGATTTAAGCAAGTACTTACAATGTCAATGTTTCAAACTGCAGACCTGACCTGTGAGAAATGATATGAAAAATAATAAATAAGACTTCAAAACATTGCCTGAAGAAAAGAACATGGAGGGGCAGACTGGATATTTCTGTCCCTTTATCTGGAAGAGTTTCTGGCTGCAATTTGCCATTTAAAAATTTTGGAATCATAGAAGAGCATTGAATAAGAATTTTTGCATAATGCACACTGCTATGGCATTAGCCATAGTGCACATGTTTATTAAGCAGTGCCTATGTTTATAAAATAAAACAAAGCTTGCTGTTGTAGACACTAAGGTTGCATTGCAGCTGTCCGAGAGCATTCAGTGATCAAATGCTCCATATGCTTTGCATGCTGCTTTCAATGCTTGCACAGAAGGAATTCCCCAAGAGTTCAGTAGAGCTTGCTCCCATTTAAGCACGCCTAGGATTGCAGTGCAGCAGCATAATCTCATGCATGTTTTAAAAGTGTTCAGAGTTGCAAAGTGTTGACATTACTAGACAATGTATATATCAGACATCTTCCCTTTTCTTTTAAGCAGAGATTTTTTCTCAGACTTTCAGGAAAACAGATTGATCTGGTGGCCCTAAACTGCTGTACCAAAAATCTGGTTTCATCATAAACTTTGAATAAGATGTAATGAACCAAAGTATAGGTTTTCCATACCCTGTAAGCAAAATGCTTCATTGATTTTGCTCAAAAAAGCATATCTGAGAGGTGGTGTAGCCTGTGAAACCTCACCCAAAAACAAACAAAAAACCACCACTGTTAGTCTTTAGAGTCCTACATGATTCCTCATTCTTTACTTATCTGCAAATGTATAGAATAAAAATGCTTTCTTCATTTTTAAAAAAGGAAATATTCAGCAGAGAATTAAAATAGTAATTTTCCTGACCATAACCTATACCTTCCCCACATTTTGAGTTACATTAGGGTTGAGTTATGTATTTTGAGCTATTAAGAAAAAGAAACACATCTACTGGCAGGGAAAAGAAAAGAGGGTATTTTTAAAATAGATAAAAATGAACAAAAAACAAACCACAGATTAGCAGCTGCTGCTCTTAGTCATGGGAAACTGGTAATTGCACTGGGGTTGCTGAGAGGTGGACAACTCCTCCTAAGACACAGACATGGCAGTGGAAGTTGTGAAGCCTCAATGCAACAGCAGCATGAATTTTCCAGTACTCACATGAAAGCCCTTCACTTGCTTCTTTAAGCAGGAGTATGATCTTGTGGGCCTACACATTCCTGCTCTTGAGAGCCAATTAACATCTCTGATCACTAATATCATAGTACCTACAGTTTCCCACACTGTAAGTGCCAGGGACAGAGTTTCTAAATATGTTAATGTCTGGACATGCATAGCTTTATGTTATCACTGTGAAATATCTTCATTGTATCTTATTATAACAGACTTAAAGTCAAAATTGCCTTTTTTGTACCATTGGGAATTGATTTCTCTTTTGGAAAGATAAAGATAATTGCAATTCCAGTAATTGTAATGAATACTGGAAGAATCTGAGGAAGCACTTCTGAAAATTTGTTGTAAACCAACAATTTTTTTTAATCAATCTTAAAAAAAAAAAATCTTTTCCTAGGATGTGTGACACGGGAGAAGGGCTGTTCACCTTTCAGACAAGGGAAGGCGAGATGATCTATCAGAAGGTCCATTCTGCAACACTGGCAATAGCTGAGCAGCATGAAAGATTGATGATGGAGATGGAACAAAAAGCACGGGTAAGAAACTTTATCATGTAGTATAAAAGCTTTTTTTTAAAAAAATTGGAAGATAATTATTGTAAAAGTAATCAAAATCCAGACTTAACACAATAGTTGCATTCCCAAGATATTGAAAAACTGACAATATTAGTTACTTTAGACTAAATTCTCCTTGGGAGTTATTTTACACCTAGAGTGAGCTCTGGCAAGTGTATGAATGCATTTCCATGCACTTGACTGCATGCACATAAATCCCTTCTATGCATACATTGCAAACTGGGTTTGAAGCTTCCCAGTATAAAAACTTTTCTGGAACCTAATCTGGAACATTGCCAAGGATCATAAATATGCTGTGAATTAAAGAATAATATTTGCTTTCAAGATTTCCAATTTCTGATCTTCTTTTTGGTATAGCATCATTTCTGCTGACATAGTTCTGTGTATATCTTCATAAAAGACGAACAAGCGCATTGTATCAAAAACAAGGAAAATTTTTGTATCCTCCCCCAAACACAAATAAATGAAAGACAGAAAACTATGTTTCTTAATATAAAAGATTTATTAGTCTCTAAGCTGCAACAGTGCAATGTATTATTTGTATTCATTATTTAAGATCACAGTTTATGACAGTATAAGTGAAGTGAACATTTGCATGTCATGACGATGTCTGATTGCAGCTGTCTGAATCACTTTGTCCTTTATTAGGACCACTTCCTTTTGTGCATCATGCAGCCTTATAGTAAATTGAAAGGTGCAGCGCCTTTATGGTTGACTCGCACAAGCATTTTCTCTTCTACTAGCTTTGGCTGGTGCATTAATTCCAAGAGAACAAAAAATTTTCAGAGGAAAATCTTGTCTAGTGGAAAGTCAATATTCTGAGCATGGCTATATGTTCTCACACATTACATTACATTTGATTTCCTGTAGTTTTTTTTTTTTTTCCTTTCCCGCTTTTAGATGATGACCTAAATGGCTACAATAGAAGGGTAAAAAAAATGCGGTCAAATACCCATTTCAAGTGTCTTCACTGGATGATTTGTATTTCAAAGAAATATTTTTGGCCAGTATCTTGTACGTAGTTGCTCACTCTCTGGCGAGGTTTCATTTCTTCATGCTTTACACATTGCCTCTTCTATATTATGTTGGAAAGTATGGTCTGAAAGTAAGAAGGGGGTGCTGCAAGTCTCCTTTATGAACCCATTTTGAGTTATATAACTCAGGTTAGAAGTTTGCTTACTATTTTCCTTGTTGCCAAAAAATGTGTAAGCTTGTGGTAGATTCCTGGCTACAGATGGTGCACATGTTGTATTTTTCCTTTACTAGAAGACAGGCAGTTTGGAATATTGGAAATAAAAAAGGTGAAACTGTTTTTAAGAAGAAACATGAATTTAGGATGAACCAAAACCAATAGTCCATCCTGGCCTTTTAAAAGTGCTTAGCTTTTAAAAGCCTCAGTTTGAATCCCTGTGTATTTGGCCATTTTTGGCAAAGAGGCAAATTATGGTTACCACTTTTCCCCCCCTGACTCCCACCACCACCACCACCACCTTTAGCAGCAACCAAGTGAATCATAGTGTGTTCCATACTGGAAATAGCCCAATCTGTTGAATTTGACTGGTGGGATGGGTAATAAGAGTGGTTTTGATAAGAATTCACTAAACTTGTAACATTCTTTATCTTCAAAAATGGAAGAACATGCCATTTAAAAATATAAAATACAGGAAAATATGAAGCTGTAACATAAACTCCCATCCCTAGCTAGTGCATGAAATGATAGGATAGCATAGCAGGGCCTTATCTGTTATTTCAAAATGAAGTGTAACTTTATGATATTTTAGGTCATTCTCCTAGATGAAATATTCAGTCAGTTCGCAATAACTAATTCTAATATTAGCAACTGGTCCAGTCCATAGTCATAACAAATCAGAATAAATATTCAGGTAAAGCTTTGGAAAACAGAGTAACCTGGTATTTTTTTTATTACTGTGGATACTACTGGGTATCCCAGTAGTATGCTATTATGAATAAAATTGCATATCCATATAGAGAAAGAAGAGTAAAAAATCAAACCAATGAACAGATCTGCAGAATGATAGCCATGTTCTAGAACTCAATGGTATTCAAAACAACTTGGCATTAAGAAAAACCTCTTTTGTTATTAAGATACATTCCTTTGCATTGTTATGAACACCTTGTTAAAATCATTTATTATTTGTTCATCTTCTGATTACATTCTACAAATAGTTACAATCTACTGTCATGGTATGCACACACATATATATGAACGTGTGTATGTGTGTATACACATATACACACACACACATATATATAGCCCACCATGACAGTAAATGTATATATACAATTATATATATATCACAATCATGTTGAATAGAACAGTAGAAAAAGAAAATGGTCTAGTTCAGCTGTAGGCAGCCTGATGCCCTCTGAGTATTTTGGACTACAACTCCCATCAGCCCCAACCAGTATGATAAATGATCAAGAATGGGGGGGTTAGTCCAGAACATCTGGTGGGCACTAGGTTGCCCTATCTGAATATATCACTTGATTTCTGAATTTGTCTGATATTCTGCTGACCGATCTTGAGATTTACCCTCCCAGTCATGAGGGGCAGAATCCCATTGTCTCATTCCATCAATGCAAAGGCAACTAAATTCTGAACTATTTAAAAAGAGGGTGTGCAAGAACTGTAAAAGTAACTTTTGTGCTGCAGTGGAGTGATATGTGGAATGTACTTGCCCACTCTGTAAACTTTCACTTGAAGCTCAGGTGACAACAGCGGCGAGGAGCGCTTTCCTCCAGCTTCGGCTGATTCATCAGCTGCGCCCCTACCTGGAGTACGACTGCCTTGCAACAGTGACTCATGCGCTGGTGACTTCCCGTCTTGACTTCTGTAACGCGCTCTACGTGGGGCTACCCTTGAAGACGGTCCAGATACTTCAATTGGTTCAGAATAGAGCTGCCAGGCTGCTGACGGGGACTGGACGTTATGTTCACATGACTCCAGTTCTCCGTCAGCTTCACTGGCTCCCCATTGAAGTCCGGGCCCAATTCAAGGTGTTGGTAATGACCTATAAAGCCCTAAATGGCTTGGGTCCTGGTTACCTGAAGGAGCGCTTACATCCATATTTGCCCAGTCGCCCCCTGAGATCGGCGGGAGAGGCCCTTCTCCGGGAGCCCTCCGTGAGAGAAATTAGGAGGGTGGCTACTCGGAGAAGGGCTTTCTCAGCGGTGGCGCCTAAGTTATGGAATGCGCTCCCCAGAGAGGTCCACCTGGCGCCGTCGTTATTTGTTTTTCAGCGCCAGGCTAAGACCTTTTTATTTAAGCAACATTTTAAATGCTAAATACAATTGAATTTTATCTGGCCAGGGCGGCTTATTTTATAATGTGTGTTTTAATTAAGATTATTTTATATGGATATTTTAACTTATTGTTTTATCTATGTTGTAAGCCGCCCCGAGGCTTCGGCGAATGGGGCGGCATAAAAATGCTTTAATAAATAAATAAATAAAATAATGAAAACCCAGAAAGCCATTAAGGAAAGGACCAAACTATAAAAGTTATGGTTTCAGCACATCATTTCAAAATGAGAGTGCTAAAACTTATATATGCATAATGCCCTTTTCCCTGAGACCTGAAGTTTTGGAACCGGACAAACGGAATTCTGGGGTTCCCCTATAAAAGGTATCATTTGTTATGGTTTTGATTCCCTAGCAGTGGAACAGGATTTAGGCTTGTGTTCTGATGAGCCCTAGCTGTTTAGGCTGCACTCCTGTATCAACTCCACAAGCAGCAAGCTCCATTGACCTCAATAGGACTTACTTCTAAGGAGTCCTGTATAGGACTGTGCAGTTAATAGGTGTGCAAGTTAAGCAGGAGCTGTAAGCAGAGAATAGATGATAGAAGGAGTTATATGTTTGTCACTGACAGCCTGTGCTGTAACTTATGTTTGTATCTCCTCAGTTAACCTCATGGATGACCTGCAATAAAATATGTTTGTTCCAGCAACTATTCACCCTGTCAGAATCTATTTCCATAAAAGTGGCTAAAGGGCAAGTTTCCAATAAGACCGAGTGGCTGAATGGGCAGTCCCACTGCACACTTTGTAATTCAGCAGGACTCGGCTTGACAAGATGACTTGAGCTCTTAACTTCCTTTTCTTCCTTTTTCATCATTCTCTGCTCTAAAGCTGGCCTTATTAGTGTGAGCGAAATAATAGCAGAAACTGGAAAGAAATTTCCAGTTCTTGTTTTTCCTGTAAAATCAGATAATTTCAGTAATGTTCTCCATGTATGCCCAGCTATTGTCTGTGTATATTTCCTAATCTGTGAGAAGGAAAAATCTGCATAAAATGAAGCTCTCCATGGTAACCGGTACATTTTTTTAGTGGCCAGTTGAGGCTAAAACAGAGTGGCACTGCTCTAATGATAGATGAATTTAAATTAAGCAATGTTCTTCTGAGAAGAAATATACGAACCTAACATTGTCCTCTATGGACATAAAGGGCTTAATTGTCACAAAGCAATGAGAAATGTGACACTGGCATGCCACATTCATTACCATGGCCAGGGAACCTGTGCTCAGAACATTGAGGGGACAACCTTCATTGAACTGCCAGCGTTCTAGAGTCCAAAGTGCAAATGCGATATCTGAGGTCAGGTAGAAGCAGAGAAGTAAGTCTCTGAAGGATATGCAGATTAGGAGTCAGCCTCACACATGGATGAGACTAAGGTAGGTTTCCTAGCATGCCTCATGTCCTGAATGTGTCCATCACCATGTACCAGTCCTTATAGAGAAGAGTGGGGAGAGAAGGAGAACCTCCTATCATGGACTTCCAGAATAGCAAAATGGTGGGCTGGATCTTAAAGAGTATGTGCCGCTGGTTAGGATGCAGCCATGATGGGAAATGGACTGGTTGTGATGGTTGCCTCATACGAGCATCTGTGTTTGCATTCAGATAGTAATTTGGAAGATTGCTTTAGCTGGCTCAAGGTATAGC